TATGCATTTCTTCTACTTTCTTCTGTTGCTTTGTGTTCTACATGGAGGGAGTGTGGCGACTTGAACTGCCACACATATGTGCAAAATTCTATGTAGAAAACAGACAGACACAGACAGACATTCTATGGGAGTTGATGATACTACCACCCAGAACCCACTGTGTTGTATAACCCAGATGGATAGTTTTCGACACTGAATGTTATCTAAGCTAGACAGTTTAATTGTGATGTTTTTATCGTGCCTTTATAGAAAAAATCTAGGGCACTCATAGAACACAACAGTACCAACACAACACTACTATTCTGATTGAACACTCGTCAGTAACTAGTGTCATGTGTCTAGTTCTATTTTTGGTGTAGAATAAATTCTATTAGTCAAGTCTGCAATGTGATCAGCATGCCATTAGGTGGCTCACCACCACTACGATACACTGCACTGTGAATTGTTGATATTAGATAGTTGGAGGCAATCGGTAGGAGGCCTTTCACATAGGTTTCGTGCTTCTTCACAGTCACCACTCAGCAAGGAGTATCTGCTACCGTCTTGGAGGAATTCATGTCCAAGATTCGAATCCACATTACTCAGTGCTGCAGTCAGAGACTTTTTACCACTGAGCTGACGAGTGTCAACTGGCACGAAACCTGGGACCAAGGTTCCCTGCTGATTGCCTCCAACCATCTAATAAAAACAGTATTATTTCAACGAATTTAGGAGTATTTTAATAACATGCTGCAATATACTGCACTAAATCTTTTCTCTTTTTTTAATTCACCCACATCATAAATCAAATGCTAACCAATAAAAGACATTCACTTAGCTTTTGTATCACTGTGGTATTAGCTTGGATTTTGGATGACTCTAAACTATATTAGCCTAAAATGAAACTAACTAATATGAACGGATTAATGACCTTGAGCAAGCAGTTAGATAAGTCCGTTCACGTTCCTCAGTGGAACATAGGGCTTCAAGCTAGTGGCTTGAAGTTTCTGTAGCAGTGTTTATTTTACAGGATGGGGTTGCTAGCCTCATGCCCAACCTTTCCTCTTCACCAGCATTATTTCTGGCTTCGCGAGGTAAAGGAAAGCGTCGGCCGGAGATCGAACCCCGGACCATGTGCATGGTCGGCGAGCGTCCTAACCGCTATGTCACCGACGCACATGACATAAGGATGGAGCATTTGAATCTCTTCCCATTATCATACCGAAAGAGGAGAGGCAACTTAATTTTGGTTTACCGCATATTCAAGGGTGATTTAGGGATTGACCTTTCAAACCTTGTCTCTCCCTCTAGGATACACTTACGAGGTCACCACAAGGTGCTAGAACCGAGGTCGATTAAAATACGCTTGGAGTTTAGATTCTCTCACAGAGTGGTCAATGACTGGAACTCCTAACCTGATTCAGTAGTGACAGCTCCATCGGTGAACGCTTTCAGAGAGAAACTAGATCTCTGCAGAGATATGTATGGCGAGGATTAACACAGGCAACAAGTGTCTTCTATCCTTATAATCTGAATCCAAACAACAACATTATTGCTTGAGCAATGCTATATTTTCATCGAAAACGTCATAGTTTCCATGGTTAGACCAATATGGTTAGCATTATACATTGCAAATGTATACTATCATTCCAAGGACTCTGTAGCTCATTCGCCTAAATATCTTGTAAATTTCCTTCCAATGATGTATTATGTATAATTGTATTTTATACCATTTTACAGTTTCCCAGGACGTTCTTCTCTTCCTGAAATAGCTTTTAATCACGTTGGGACATAGCACTTACCCAAATGTACATTGTTCATTAGTTGACCATAACTATCAGCATTAAACCATTTTTAACCGGATAGATAATATTATAAGTAATAATGATAATAACAGCTTTATTCCAAACATTGATTTTTGTACAATGGAATATGGAATTTACAGCATGTAGTACAGTACACTATTGCATCTAACTTTCTCATTACAGGGGTAATAATTAAAGCCGGGCATTTACATTGACAATATTGTTCAATAAGGGAATGAATATAAGATTAAATTAAGTGAAAATATTTAGAGCGGTGTAACAATAGGAAAAATACGGCTATTTACATAGAGTTCCTTATTAAGTTGGTAGTGTTTTACCTAACACTTCTCTCATAACGTGCTAAAATAAGGTATTGCAGAGTTTTGTACATAGTCACCCGAGCATACAGCCTTGTATAGTTGCTTCTCCTTCTGTTGGATGAGGCAAAGGTAAACTTTAAGCACCACTAACTTCCACCAATCAACAAATGACCTCGAATGCACCAATCATGTGAAGGAGGCATTTTTGTGCATGGAATACATAAATTTATTTTTTTTTATGCATAAAAACTGTAGAAAAGTGTTACAGAGGCTACCTTCGTCGCCCAAGTGATAAAAGTAGGCATCAGTTTTAGGCTGGAGTATCAACAGAGTATAACTCCATTGTGGATATTATTTATTTTGATTAAAGTCGCACTATGACCCTGACAATAACCCTGATCTTTCCTGAATCTAACACCCTAACTTGAAAATAGCCCTAAACTAATGAATGGGCCCAGTATAAAATAGTATATCATCTTTTCTCACGAATCATGTGATTTATCTTTTGATGGAGTTACTATGTGAATGTATCATTTCTCACGTATATTGGGATTTAGTGTGTGAGATCAATTCATCGTCTTTCGCCTCACTTTGGTCTTTGTTGGATCACCAACCAATGAGAATAGACATTTCCAGCAAATAAGATCAATCCATTCTCACGGTTGTTAGTCAACTTTTGCTATGGTAAAGAAAATGTATAAATATCATGTGTTGTTACTTAAACTATAAAGTATAGTATAATACAATAACTTACAGTCACAGGCCAGCCAGCCTTTATCTTTTGATATTTTCGTGACTCAGTGAATCGGAAGGTACAACGGACAAATAGAAATGTATTAGCGTGCCAGTCAAGTTGATTACCGTTATAGTAATTAACAGGCGCAGACATAACAAAGTAGCAACGGATTTATTCAATTCACTTCAGTCACATAACAAATTGGCAACGGAGTTATAACAACTAACTGTAATCTAACTCTAACCAACCCTGATGTCGCCTTTATTAGGTTAGGTTAATCTAACCCTAACTTGTTCATGGTTTAAACCGTAACTTAATCTTTCCCAAACCTAAGCTGATATACCATTTAATAGCATAACGCTTCGATAAGCATATTTCACTGATAATGAAAGCATTACTTGCTAGGTTTCACTAACTTTCTCAGTGAGCATTTCAAGGTCATCGGTGCTGTCACACTCCATTGGTAGTTGGTTAATGGTGCTTAAAGTTTAACTTGGCCCCTGATGAGGCAGATGCAAGGAGAGAGAGAGTTGTCCATATAGAGAGGATGTTCAGAGTCTGAAGAGATAATACTAGCTAATTCCTTATGTGAGTCCGTGTGTCTACTGTCTATAGGAGTGTTAACGAATCGATTTAGCGTAGGAACACCACAGCCGCCCTACTGACAGCTTTTAGTGCCGTTCGTAGGATAACATAGCAGTATTTCTTAAATGGTCATGGAAAGATTGCATTGGAGGAGTAAACCTCGAGTGTAACTCTAATGAGAAACTATGGAGTTAGTTGGGTATCCTTCAGTGATATGGAGGTAACATGAGGAGGAGAAAGAGGAGAGGAAGCCTTCGGGGCAATTGTGGAAACAGCTAAAAATGACAGCAGAGAACAGGATGAAATGGAGATATGTGCTGTTGAAGCCCTATGTTCCCCATGAAACAAACTCATAGGATTGATAATGATAATAATAATAAGCCAAAATATGCTTCTGTAATTCACTGATTATATAAAACAATTAAAATGTTTCAAACCACCACTGAAGGTATAAACGAAGTTGACCTGTAGGTTTTTAAAATCGCCTAATCTACTTTACGACTCGTGACAGTAATAAAAAACAAACAATTACATCATATGATAAACATTGTAAAACTGTAGACATGACCCGAAAATAGGCAAACACATCAAGTTGATTTCGCTTTCATCAGTCGCACACACATGCAAGCGTAGACACGATGCGTGTAATCACGGATCAATAGAGATCGATCCATAAGAAATGACCCTGAAGTGTGCAATTATTGATCAGTGTATGAATGATTTCACACTGATAATAACGTGTAAAGAGGAAGATACACAAACACACACACACATACAGAGAGAGAGAGAGAGATAAACTATTATAGTTACGTAAATTAGGTGCCTGAAGAACTTGAAATTATGGTTTATAAGAGATACATTTGTTTAAACAAAAACGTGTGCTACTGATAAGACTCATCGGTAGTATATAAAAGGATGTTCATCGGCACAGAAAAATCAAATTAATGGAGAGATAGATTGGACGTCAAAGAGAACAAATGAACCGGTATTACGGCAAAACACGAGAGACACGAAAAGAACACAAAAAAATGCAATATGAAGGAAGGGAAAAAGTAGCATAACACGGATGATTTGTGCAAATGACGATTTTCATATCAGGTGTACACAATTTCCCTATATAGAGATATCAAATGTCAAATAAGCATTCCGTTACCAAAACCTATTGTCTTCTACAGTTACAAGAATACACATCACGAGCCCACACAAGGTGGGAAAATTACTGGAAACTTGGAAGCCTAGGACAGCCCTGAATGGTTCTAGTGTGAGACTTTTCAGGGAACAGTGAATGGTTATAAAACCCTGTGAGAGGACTGAATTGAGGACCATCAAGGTTTCCTAAAGAACAACTGGTAACATCTCAAAAAGGTTAAAGGCCTATCTCTCCCTAGTAAGGTTGTACGGTGCATACTGTTAAGTAGTTTTGAGAGAAACAAAAGAAAGAAACAGGTGATGAGTGCTCACCGACCTTTCCTTCTTATCATAATTTTGCTTAGTGATGCAATAATTTAGCATAAAAGAAAAAGGATCCTACAAAAGAAAAAAAGACTGAATACAAGCAAACAGAACACAACTCACCTAGATATTGGGTAAGCGCTAACGGTACAGGCGCTTTATTATGCCCTGTATGAATATCAGATATAGTTGAATCAGTGATACGAGGATTGCTAGTATTTTCTGCATATACATCCACTGGTTGATAATGACACGTGTAAGCTGACAATCGTTTATCATTCAATCCATACTGAGTTAATGTTGGTTTAGACTGGATTTGTGTAACAGTATGATTATGTAATATATCCAAGTTGTTATGTAAGTCATCACGTGAAGAACGTTTGTGTGTAGATTTCAACTTAGTATTACTATTATTATTATTATTATTGGTATCGGAAGTATTTATTTTCTTCGGAGAATAGCTTGTATGAGTTGTTGTTGGTGTTGGTGAGGATGATGACTTTTCTGAGGCATTTCTCAAAGATTTTTGTATTCGTTTGCGTAGAACTATTGTTCGATGGTTTGGTATTTTAGAGTTGTTTGTAGTATACGATGAATTATTGTTATTTGACACTTGTCGACATTTACGCAGTATACGACGATTAGCAACACTAGTCGAGAGCTCTTCTTCATCGACATCATCGCCATTATTCTTGTTGTTGTCGTTGCTATTGTAGGTAGTAGTAGTAGTGGTATTATTATTACTACTACTGCTATTTTTAACCTGATTTAAAACATCACTATTCATATTGTCCTCCTCAGCAGGAGCTGGCTTTATCTGACCAATACGTGAATGATCTTGACTCCCTCTAGAATTTGATATTCTGAATTTAATACGAATATGAGGAGACGGATCAGACATATCTGAAGACAAGCAAAAACAAAACAAGAAAAGAAGAAGAAAGTAAGACTGGCTTATTGCAACCAAAGGGGCATCCGGTAGCTGAAAAACAAGGTAAAAAACCAATATAATGCAACAACAAAAAACGATGAAATGCAAATCACACTGAAGTCAATATTGTCATAGATTACAAAAAAATAAACAAAAAAGAACAACACACAGAGACTGTCTTGGTTAACAAAAAAACAAAATCAAACAACCACCGACACACCCAACTCTAGTCAGTCAATCAAAAAGCATATCGCTAACACTGTACGAACCAATAAAAAGAGAAGACTCCTTGTGTGTGTGTGTGTGTATGTATGTGTCGAGGAAAGTTACTGTCATTCCAACCATTGGATGAATCTCAATGTCATACGAATCTATGAAAATAGTAAGTCAGTCTGACTGATTGACTGACGGTTTCCACACAGAGTTTTGCACCGATGTGCAGCAGTTTGAGTTGCCCCACTCTCTGTGCAGCACACAAAGCAAGAGAAGAGTATAAAGAAAGATTCATCAGAAGACACAGATAATAAACAGAAATGTGAGGCAAAAAGAATAGTAATATGGAAGGACAGTGGAATTTTATTCGATATTATAAATCACAAATATTGAATGCATCTGCGCCATCATTTGAGAACATGGATTTTGGGCCACATCACAGATTGTCTCCAGCCTTTATTAGTTGTTACCATCTAGATCCTACAACTAACTGCTGCGGATTTCATTGACTGATGAAGCCGTGTTTCCACTAGCTCTTTTGCGACGTGATCCTATGTCAGCTGACACTGCCTTTTGCCGAAGAAGGCGATGGCTAGGCATGCGTAACACATGTTCTAACCATCTTTATCAATCGATGTAACTTTACAACATCGTCGATTGATTTCCCCTCCTTACCTAGATGGCACTCGACCGAAGCCTAACCTCAATATTGCTCACCTTATAATACCACTAACAAACACGGGACGACATTTTGGTCGACAACCGAATATCAGTTATCTAAGCAGCCAGCATCGTCTCAATCACAGGAGGACGGCACAGATGTGAAAGATGCCAAAGCCAGAATTGGAAAAGTTAGCTACACCTTCATCAATCTGAGGTCACCTTGAAAATCTTCTGCACTAGGCCTCAGAATAAACAGAGAAATTCGGACTTTCAGAACAAATGTTGGTCAGAAACTTGACCAACGCATGAGTCACGGAAAGCACTTCCAACAGGCCACTTCGCAGACTTTTCTCAACAGTCTTCGCCGCTCCATATTGAAGATCCAACGGTCAGAAAGAATTAAAAAGAAGAAACTGTGAGGGCGAACCAACCAAGAATCAACTGCTCAACAAATATGCAAACAAAAAATACAGATGGATTGGACACACGCTACTGAGGAGACCGTCGAAAGACATCACGCCCAATGCAGAGCTAGCCACTCGAATGGGGCAAAAAATTGTGCGTTGGCCCGAAGCTAACATGGGGGAGATCTTTTGCGGAGGAGGAGGTGGAGGCGGAGGAGATGACAGATGATGGTCAGTCGTGAGACCAGTTAAAGAGGACCACAAAAAATTGGAAAAAAAGTGGAGATTTGCTATTGAAGCCGTGTGTCTCATTCGGAATCCAAGGGATCAATAACAACAATAATAATGTTCATACACACACACACACACACATAAGCAGGACTCATTGATCTCTGTAAGTAACTCTTTTAGAGTATAACTCCTAAATGGTTTCACAAGTACATAGATTAGCCTGGAGATTCTACTTAATGAGAGAGACAAAAAAACCATTCTATAACAATATGGTATGTTATTTAGCTTTGTAATGCATGGATCAATCAATAAGACACAGGGAGATAGATACATCGATAGAGAGAGCGCATAGTCTACAGTATAAAAAAACCAATCTAATGTAAACAACGCATGAAGAATGAAAACAACAATACCACTACTACTAACTAAATACAAATATAATCATGTTTAAGAGAAAGAGAAACACGATCTTTTAATATTTTGATTGATGCATGAATTTGTATTGGCAAAAGAGAAATTTGATTTGTCGGTTAATTTTCTTTCGCATACAATCTCTATCTCCCTCTGTCTCTCACTCTTTATCTCTTGTGTACTTTTCAGAATGCATAACATTCACTTATGCACTCAAAAACGCTTTACTTATTTACAATAGATTTTGGTAAAAGTTACAGTAAAAAAACAAACACATAAAAGATTTCATTTGATGTGTGAACCAACAAATAAGTAATATAATATTATTTAGGATTTCATCATGAGCTGATATCGCATTAGAGAACCATTGCAAAATTAACACTAGAATGAGCCAGCTGATTAGTCAGCCTAGTTTGGGACTCTCTAGCAATACGCACCCATCCTACTGACAGGGCTCCAGCCCACAACCTTTCAGTTATAAGGTGAGCTTATAAATCACTGAGCCACTGGGACCCGATTTATAAAAGCACTGGGTTACACGGGTTCAAATCTCAGAAGGGGCATGAGTTCCTTCAAGGCGGTTGCAGGTACGCCTTGCTGACTGGTGAGTGAGTGCGAACATACACGAAACCTACATCGAAGACTTTCCGCCGATTATAGCTCCTTGTAACCGGAAGGTCCTGGATTCGAAACCTGTCAGTAGGGTGGGTGCCTACTATGGAAGAGTTTCAAACTAGGCTGAAGAAACAGCTGACTGTTCGGTACTCCAAGATTTCCTAGTGGTCCTCCAAACGATGCACGCTCATGATGAAACCCTGCAGACTAACACTTGAATAATATTATCTGCCTATTAGTACTACTACTACCTGCCCTTAACTGAGACGAAGCCTTACAGTAAACAAAACGGTAACCAGCTATGATAGGCGTAATACTACCGAAGGATATGGATCGACATCTATTGAACAAGTGTCTAATACATATATAGTCAATAAAATTAGGTAATACTACTGTGTATTGTATGGACAACTGTTAGATACTTCAAGTCTGGATTTTGACTGACATAAAACCTCATGCCCAATCTGTTTTATAATAATATATAATGCCATAATATTCCTTTACGTTCTCAGTAGAACATAGGACTTCAAAGTAGCGCTTTGAAATTTCGGTAGTAGTAGTAATAGTGGTGTTTATTTTTACCTGGTAGGGTTGCTAACCTGACAGCCAATCTCCCCTATTTACCGGCCTTACTACTATCACCTTAACGAGGTTTAGGAGTGCGTTCGTCAGTCGATGATCGAACCCCAGAATACTTAAGGCTTGATTGGCTAGTGTCCAGCCAATGACCCACCAACGCACTAGTTTTATCCTTCGCTTAGGACAAGTCATGTATACAACCTTGAACGAACTCAGCCCTTTCCCCTCCCCCACAGAACATTCGAACTTACGTTGCTCAATATAGAAGTTGAGTGACTTAAATTACCTACAACAAACAAAAACAGAAGAGTGTTTATCATCGAATTTGTGGACACACGGTTTACCTACGGAAATCATCAAACGCTTGATATATACGGTTGGTATTACATCAACATGCTGTTACCCCGTAGAGATGTTTTATGTGCCTGGTTCATAGACATAGCTAATAAACCAGTCCTTTGGAATAGAGTCGACGAAAGTGAACCTAAGACAAAGAAACTAAAAACTAAATATACGGAACAGTCGAAATCTTCATCCCTAGAGAGTAATAAAAAATGCCTAGCCATCGTTTTCCTCGACAAAGAGTAATGTTACCTGACATAACATCGATCAGGTTGGAAAGCAGCCAGTAGTGGTCAAACCAAAACATGGATTCATCAGTCAATCAAATCCGTAACAATTAGTTTAATCCGGCCGACCAGCCAACCACACAGGGAGGTGCATACTGCCGTTTATCACCTTTGTCTCTCTCTCTTTTTAATCTCTCCTTACTCTCTTCTCTGACTTTGTGTGGTACATGGTAAGTGGAACTGTTGTCCATCTGCGCCAAGTTCTATGTTGAAACTAGTCAGTCAGTCACTGGAAAGCAAACTTGATGGTTTGTTCGAACTCAGTTACTCGGAAAGAATTTTCATTGTATTAGGCTATGAAGTTAAACATATCATGTGAGGCGCTTGAGGATACTAATCAGGTGCCTACGCTGAAGTAGGTGGAGAGACATTATTCGGATCTAGCACGAGGGTTCAAGCCTAAAAGCTACATCTTCACTAGACAGTACAAAGTCTTATCCTTCACAGAGTCCACAGATCCACACACCGCTGAAGTGTCTCGAACTCTCCAACAAAACGGTTATCTAACGCTACGTGATTTTCAGCTATTCTCTAACCCATGTTGACCCATGACGAGGTCTATATATATCGTGAACTATATCGTGAAATCGGAGAAGTTGGGATTCATAGACTGGTCGTCGGATCGGGTCCCAGTGGCTTAATGGTCTACCAGCTCGTCTCGTAACCGGAAGGAAGATCCTGGGTTGGAAACTCGGTCGGTGCGCACTGACAAAGAGTGCTGGACTGGGCTGACGAAACAGATATCCAATACTTAAGCGTTGGTTTTCAATGACTCTCTAACCAATGTCAGCTTATGATGATATCATGTAACTAATCAAATCAAATATATAAATTCACATATTCACGTTGAACACACACAACTTACTTCTGTCTAAATCATCTTGTGGGATAATACAACAGTTATGCGATTGAATTGTTCTCAATGTTGACTGTGAATAATTATTTGCAGGATTGTTCAAAGTAGTTGGCGTTTCATCCGTTTGTGAATTCGGTGATCGATTCGCTGATGACAATGAAGAGACATATGGAGATGACGATGAATTTCGACTATCACGTTGACCTCGAGAAGAAGATGACGACAAGGAGTGTACACTGAGACAATCATCGATGACAGAATAACTGTAAGCAAGTTTACCATTACTAATGTTATTATTATTATTGTTATTAGCAGTTGTTGTTGTCGTAACAATCGCTAGCGTTTTACTCTTCCGTCGGGTAGATTGTTTCATAGCATCGCTTTTCGACAATATATCATTTTCACAAGGATTATTATTATTTAATAGATCCGTGGAAATATCGGATGTAAACTGTTTTCCTGTATCCTCTTGATCGCATATTTCGGATTCTTTGACAGTTAATGAAGCTAACTGTTGATTAACAGTAGATTCAAGCAGAAGTGTATCATCAGTATTACCATCAACATGATTCTCAACCGATGATATACTACTGCTATTGTGTGATATTTTATTGGCTTTATTATTATCATTATTACCATTATTATTACTATGGGTATGTGATCGTTTACGCCGTGATGACCATTTTCTTGCATTATTACATCGTTGTCTAGAGCATGATCGCATTCGCCGTACAACAATAGATGATCCACCATTCATTAGACGTTGTTGCGGTTGCTGATGATGATGCTGATGACGACGATGTCGATGATGACGATGGTGATGATCAGATGTTTCTTTCTTTGATAAACTTAACTTATTATTATTTTTAGACAGAGTATTAGGTGTACTACTATTAGTAGTGGTGGTGCTAACAGCAGTAGTAGTAGACTTTCCACAGGAATTACGTGCAACATCAGGTAGAGATGCTGATCGTTTTGGTAAACGTCGAAAAGCAGTTGAATGATGCTTTGTTAGCATTGTTGATCTTTTTCTTACATGATTAGCACTATTACTATTATTGTTCTGATTATTAGTTGCAGATGAGTTTGATGAACCCTATATATAAATAAGATTTAAAAACACGAAATAAAAAGAAGTTAGACAAGGTGGAGAGAAAACTCAAGTAAATTATGTAGATTTACAAACACTTCCTTAAGGAAAACAGATTAAAGAACCTGTCTGTTTGTCTGCCTGTTTTCGACATAGAACTTTGCACAAATGTGCGGAAGTTCAAGTCGCCACACTCCCTCCTTGCAGCACACAAAGCAAGAGAAGAAAGTACAAGAAAAGCATAATAGAAACAGTGAGCAGAGGTGTGAGACAAAGGAGTAATAAAGAAATACAAAACAGTTTCATTGAAGATCATAAGTCACAGGGAGTGGATGCATCTGCGCCACTGAGAACGGTTTTCAGCCATGTCACCAATTGTTTCCAACCATAGATTTTTACCGTCCCGAGGACCCCAACCAGTCAGGAAGTCTACAGCGTCCTACGTGGCTTAGACCAACTGTTGTGGATTTCATTGACTGGTGCCAAGTTTTTGTTTGACCGCCACTAGCTAGCTCTTTTCCAGCCTGACCCTATATCCGCTAACATTGCTCGTCGAGGGAGGCGATGACTTGGCATACGTAACACATGTCCTAACCATCTCAGTCTTGGTAGCTTCACGACTTCGTCGATTGATTTCCCCTGTTTACCTAGAACTCGACGCCTAACCTCAATGTTGCTCACCTTATTATGCCACTTTACACGGGAAATAGAGCGCAGGCACCTATGATCAAAGACAGCTAGTCTTTTCATGCCTTCCACTCTCAGTGGCCAGGTCTCACAACCATAAAGGAGGACGGAGCGGACTGATGAGCAGTACACCCGCCCTTTGGTCGATAGTCGAACATCTCGTCTACGCCAGAGTCGGCGTAAAGAACCTACCCTCCCATCACCCTCCCTTTTTCGATTGGTTGGGAGATTTCATCATGAGGTGACACCAGTCACAGAACCATTGGAAAACCATCACTAGAGTACTAGACAACTGTTTCGTCAGTCTAGTTTGGGACTCTTCATCAGTATGCACCCACCGTCGCCAGGGTTCGAACCCAGGACCTTCTGGTTACAAGACGAGCTAGCTCGTAGTCTCATTAACCCACTGGGACCCGGCTTCTCAATGAATTCTAACTTCTGCCAATTCATGACACAGCACAACCACTTTGCAATGTCTTCTTCGATGATGAGTTACTGCCTCACTTTCAACCTGCTTTCCACCAGAACGCCAAGTCAACTGCCTGAATAGAGCCAGTCGCTAGTGAGCATCGGATTAATCCTCCAACCAATTAAACAACAAATAAATACCTGGATAAACATTAAATTTGACAATTTGAGACCTAGTTTTACTACAATTTATTAGTGAATTTCTTCATTACTACACCACCAACGGTGTCATGTGATTTAAATAATCTCATGCCACAAAGTAATTCGGCAAAAACAACACATTAATTAACAAGTGGACTATTGAGAATACTATTATCATGTTTTACATACAGATTGATTTATATGTCGTCATTTTATTGAGAAAAAAACGCACATGGGATATTATAAATAGGTAGTAATAGTCACATGGTAGATAAAATTTAATATATACAAAACAATGTGTGATTGAAAATCAAGTGAGTGAGTTGTGAACATTCATGGAAAAAAAATAGAAATAAAAATTTGTATTAATTGGATAATTACCTCTCTAGAAGTGACTTCAGAGATAATACGACCTTTGCGGTCTCGACGAACTTGATTTTCATCCTATTTTGTATAAATATAAATTAGACAGAAAGAAAAAGAAAAGGAAATAAAAGAAGAAGAAGAAGAGGTAAAAAGACAAGACTATCATCCACAGAAATGAAGAAGAAATAGGGCAGCAAGACAACAACAAATCACCGGAAGCTTCTTTTATATACACATTGAAATATAGTGCAACAAGTGTTAACCAAGGTAAAATATGTATGATTTTACAAGACAATGTGCTTCGGTGGCATCGTGGTTAGGACGCCCGACGACCATGCACATGGTTCGGGGTTCGATCCCCGGCCACCGACGCACTCCTTCACCTCGCTAAGCCAGAAATAATGCTCGTAAAGAGGAAAGGTTGGGCATGAGGACAGCAACCCCATCCTGCAAAATAAACATTGCTACAGAAACCTCAAGCCACTAGCCTGAAGCCCTATGTTCCACTGGGGAACGTGAAGGAAAAATTAATTTACAAGACAATTCACTTTCTACATTCAAATTCGTATTTTTGAAAAGTGCTCAGTTCAAGGGGAGAGGAGTAGTAGTGAACTGTTTGGAAATTAAAATTATTCGGACTACAATACAGGGTCAGTATAGTGTCACAAACCCTCAGCGAAGGGAGAAAGCCAAGTCAGTGCGTGGTCGGCGAGCGTCCTAACCGCTATGCCACCGACGCACAATTCATAGTCTATCCTTTAACCAAATTTGTTGATATCTCAATGTAATAATAATAAAGAAGCTTCAAGAATGTGAGCGTGTCAGTGGTTCAGTGGTAGAACGCTCGCCAACCACACCTCAAATGGTCCGCGAGTCGATCCCCAGTCGATGCAATTCGAAACCTTGCTAAGCCGGTATGTAAGGTCAATGATAAAGAGGGAAGATTAGGCTAAGTGAAGCCTACCGACCTCACCACCGCCACTGAATCTTCAAAGCTCTAGCTAGAAGTTGTCAGTCCCATTGGAAACACAAAGAAATCAATTTGAAAAGATGATAAATAATAATGCTAATAATTCGACAGCGTGAAATCATTTGCGGTTTATTAGTTTATTTATAACAAGCAGAGATTTTACTTTTCAGTAATTACATCATGGGAAAAACGCGAAACTGGATAGTGCATAATCAAATTTATCCAAAAGATTAGTCTAAAAATAGGTGAGAATTCGTATTATAAATATATATGTAGAATATTGCGTCACTCAACTGGTATTGACAATGTAAGCATTCAGCCCTATTTTTATCAGACCGGCCTACACAATTAAATGAGTCGGCGCATTATTCACAGAAACTAATGTACTAAATATCTCCATTATTCTAGCCACCTACTGACTTCACATAAAGTTATTCATATAGAATTGAAACTATATAAAACATGCTGTCTATTAATCTATCTATATATCTCTTAATTAGCTTAAATAAACGACAATAATACACTTTACAGATTCATTATACTCCATCCACTCTACTTAAAGCAAGCATAATTTTATTACCTTTTGTTATGCTTTACAATCTGACTGGTTTTAACATTGATTTTAAGAAAATAATTGTCCATCATGAAGATGTTCATTGTCTCCATTTCTGTTTAGTTTCATCATAGATATACTCTAATGGATTCAACCATAACTGACTTCAGTAACTCATGGATTGACTTGTCAGTAAGGTGGGGATAATCTCGTTGACTTAGAATATTATGAGGATGACATAGTCCCCCCCTGACTCCAAGGTGAAGACGATGACAAAACACAACAGAGTCTTCTGAACACCTTGAGCAATGAGTAATCTTCGAATGTTTGGCATGAAATTCGCTACAGCTGTCAAATGGTAGGAGATGCTACACGACTGGACTGGACTACATCGACTCCTAGCTTAAAGATAGATAGGAGTGAAGTGGTAGAGCGTGTTGACCACATCGCTTATTTGGAAGGCTGTATCAGCCTCAGCGAACTGATCATTGACAAAATCACAGCACGGATACAAAAGACTCGTTTGGCATTTGCCTGATAACTCACGCCATCTCCGGTTTAATAGACGCGATATCCAGTTGGTTGGTTGGCTGTTGACCAAAGGATGTGGGTGGTGTTCAAAAGCCATGTCGCTCCGTCCTCCTTTATGGCTGACTGTAAGTGAGACATGGTTCACATTGAAAGTGGAAGATACCAAAAGCCTGGTTGGCTGACTGTCTTTCATCAACCTGCATTTTGTCTCCCGTATGTGTTAGGTGGTGATTCAATAGGGTGAGTAATACTGAGGTTAGCCGTCGAGTGCCCAAAGTCGTTCTCAATGATAGATGCATTCCCTGTAATTTTTAATATCGAATAAAAACATATTGTTCTCCCATATTACTATTGTTTCCCCCCATCACTTCTGTTTATTATCTCTCTCTTTTGAATCTCTCTACTCTGTTCTCTTGCTATGTGTGCTACATGGAAAGTGGGAACTTGAAGCGCTGCAAATCTGTGCAATGTTCTATGTGGAAACCAGTCAGTCTTAAACCTTACCAGAAGGCAGTTAGCCAGGGAAGAACGATGTCTCTGGATCTGACGCTAGCGTTTCCTCACCCTCTTAATCCAACAACATTACTGCCACTGAAACTTTAAAGCCTGAAGCCTTATGTTCCACACAGAACGCGTGGAAAAAGAACCTAAAATCCTAATTGCAACATAACAGACTCCAAAACAAAGAAAATAATCGTCATATAAATTTAGATACGTACTTTGGATTTAGGATTCTTCAAACGAGCAAAATATTGTTCCAACTAGAAATAGTGAAAAGTAAATCAAAATTACCAACGATGAATAAAAGTTGAATGAAACCACATAACAGTAAATAAGCTTTATAAAAACAGTTATTCTTCAGACATTAGAAACTGATAACTGTTTTGAAAATGAATCGACTAAAATCTAGTTGAAGTCCGATTTTAAACGGGTTATTAAGGATGATAAAATCTGTGATAGTAATTTTGCGCATATTTTCTGAATAGCTTCTTCTAGACACGTGTACAGAATGTTTGTTAGGCATTTGCTAATCTGAGTTCGGTCTAGCACCAACATAATTTGCACATGCTTATCAAGGGATAAGTTTGCTGCACTGTAACTTGTCTTTTAAAACTTTACAATTGTGAAACAATCGCTGTAAAAGCAGATGTAATAATCACATGCTTTTGTTATCACCCACATAGCTCATATAACATAGAACTAGGGAAGTCAAATGCCATGTTAGATAAGGAACATTAGTGGACCGAGAAATTCGTGTTTCTTTATCCACTGAGATAGTTACAACAGATATTTAGTACTTTGACGGTACACTAGCTAGTAGCTAATGTGTCTAGTCCTTCCTATCAGTCAAGTCTGCAATGTGGCCCACCATTCCACTAGGCGGCTTACCATCACGACACACTGCAAAGTGAGTTGTTGATATTAGACAATTAGGGGCAATCAAAAGGAAGCCTTGGACACCACCTAGGTTTCGTGCTTGTTGGCACCCATCAGTCAGCAAGGCGTATCTACGACCACTTCGAAGGAATTCATTTCTCTTCTGAGATTCGGACGCATATCACCAACCAGTGTTGCAGTCAATCGGAGATGTCACCACTGAGCTATTAGCGCTTGCGATTGACCTCCTGTAGGACTATATTAGATACTTCGATTAGACACGCTGAACTTTTGCCGCACTCCTGTCGACTCACGTGCAAAGTATGCAGAAAAAATACATACAGATCAATCAACTCGTCGTAAGTGCACAAATCACAATGATATATGGGTTATTTTAATGTGCTTACTTCTAATGTGTATATGCGCAACAATCTGAGGGTTTATATCTGCTTCAAAAAGCTACGGATTTATTAATTTCCACTATTACTTAAGAAGGCTTAATATGTGTAATGGGTGTAATTTTCCCTCTGTTTTATAATAAAACAAACAAATCGATTAAAGTGATTGTTGAATGACGGTTGAATTTAGTCAAATAGCTTAATCACATTATCTGTAGTGACACTAACTAACGAGTATAGGTAGCCATACAATCACATTTCTAACTATCTGTTTGCACGATTTCCTGTAAATATTATGAACGATAACAATTTTAATTGTCAACAACTGAAACGGATATTATTTGTGAATTTCAGCATGTATTAATGATAAGGACTTTTCAATAGAAAGAAAAAATATTGATCACGTAATATATCTCTGATGAAACGATAACGGAATTAAGATAACCGTAACGACTACTTACAAGAGAACGATCAATCGTATGCACATAATAGCTAAATGGCTTGTCAGTCCATGAAACAGCATCTTGGATCGGATTAAGGCAGCTTACACGCATAATTGAGCCAATATCTGAATAAAATACATACACATGAAATCAACATTTTATAAAAGTATCGTGTGCAATTATGGTAGTCCGGTAAATGAAGCATTAACACTAACTACATTTAAATATTAAAAACCAAGCTGGAGTTTATTTAAATTGACACAATATACCAAACAAAAATTCAAAATTTCAATTAAATAATCGTGAAAATTTGCAACTATTAGGTTACAGACTAAACAGTCTTAATTGTACGACTCGACCCAGCAGTGTTGAACATTTATTCACGGATCTATAGTTCTATAAAAGCGGCAAAGCTCCACAGTTAACTTTTAGTTGAAAACCATAAATGTCTTCATCCAGCTGGTTGCACTGTGTGGCAGTGAAATAACTAGTCAGGTTTGGCATCGAACGTTATGCAGGAGTGCAAGATGACTGTTGAAACTATGAAGCTTTCTCAACCAGCAATGTCAAACTCACTACCATTAGGTTGAGAAAGAGTTACAGGTAACTAGACTGAAAAATGTAATTAACGTGGGAAGTCACTAATCCCTGTTATGAGTTATGTGGTGAAATTCTAAGTATGACGCAAAGCAGAGACTGGAGACTCTTGTGATAACAAATATCATGGTTCTATGAGGAAAAGGAAAAACTGCCTTGCCTCTGATTAGATCACAAAATAAGTTAATACCATTTTTCGATTAACATCGTTTGAAGTACTGATAGATAATTTGAGATATATGTAGATTGTGTGTAAAATACTACTTTGAATGAACCAAAACACAATTCTATGATATCAACAATAATTACCACATACACATACACATGCAGAAGGTGGTTAAGTAACTATATAAACGTGCGCACTGGTCCAGGTTACACTTGGTATGATTTCGAGACACAGCAATTACGGCTCAACTAGGTTAGTGACAAATCACCTAAGTACTGCATTTGTAAGTATCCCAAACACGTCATTGAAGATTTTGCGTATCTGAAACCGACCCGTTGACATTAAAATTCTTCAGCAATGAGTGTTAGCCTACTTGTGAACCTGTTGGCTTTTAAAATGTCACCGTATGCAATATTTGAAACACCATTCGCCGACTAATGCCACGAACGCAGAATTCTATTAAGTCCACTTATGTATGGAAAATTTGCATTCAAAACATTTAAGGAAGTGAGTGTCACGGATTTAAACCAAGACGCCTGATTGGAAACATTACAATGCTACACAGACAGACAACGCTCTAAAATATAGTAGGTTACACTTAATCAAGAACTAAGACCCTAAAGTACTTGACAAAAAGATAAAAAAGATTTAAAATAAATCATACCTCCAAGATTCCTGTCGGTAATTCGGAAGTTTAATGGGCAAAAAGCTTTTGAAGAGATGATTCGTGCTCCCTCCTTAAGATTAGCGAACCTCTGCTTTAACTGGTGGTCAACCTCTGGACCAAACGCAAAGTTGTTTGCAAACAGGACGCTAGCACTCATAATCTTCTCTTGGTACTCCGACGATAGAAAATCTCCACGCTCTAACTAAGTAAGGTAAAGAAGGTCAATTAGCAGACTGAGAGTATTTCGTTTTAATTATACATTATTTCTCTATAGATATTACACCTCGTCTCAAAATATTTACGGTTCATGTTTGGAAATCATAAGTGAATAAAGGCATTTTAAAATCCACAATTTGACATGTAAAATATGACAGGGAAATCACAATTTACAAACGCTAATTACTTTGTAAGGACGATAGGATTTCCCGTAAAAGCTCATCCAGTGTCGAAATGCTGCATCCAACCTTGAGGCACAGTATGACGGATACTCCGCCTTTTCAATACCATAACAAAATTTCGCATCAGTAGATGCAGACACTTGCAAGACAACTTGACCTACGCCTAGTTAAAAATGAAAATTAAATTAACCGACTTCAATTACCACTCCCAAGATCAATAAATATGTCGTCGCTGGCGACTGCAATAGTATCAATCATCTGGGATATAAGTTCGAATGATGTTTCCCCATAAACTTGAGGCGAGAAAGGTGGATATTGGTTTAGCTTTTCTGGATCTGACACAGCCCGATTATAGCATTGCAAAAGTATAAATTGTATGTGGTCTCGAGAGGCCTTCCTGTTGTAGAAATCAGGAACTACATCCCCTTCCGTCCACTGAAGAATATGAAACCAAAATATTAATCCTACCATATGCCAGAGATCCATAATAGCTTTGTTATACGAAGCACACAATTCTGAGACATCATTGAATGAACTTCTGTCAGTTTGCCTGAGCATTTCCACAAGCAGTGAGTTTTCAGACAGCTCTTCAACGTCAGAAACAATCCAACTGATGACATCCACGATCTCTGAGTTCTCATCTTTAATTTCTCCAGACTAAAAGAAGACAAAAACGTTAGCATTGGACGACAAGACATTGAAACATAGTTAGAAATTGCTAAGTACCTTGCAGGGAACCCAACGAAGTTTTCCTCATTCCTAGTGGCTGGGCTAATAATAGCCAAATGATGGTCGCCTAACATATCACACGCTTGGCGTTCGAATTAACTGTCAGCCAACTGGGCCACATTTCGAAGTGCGCCAACAGTTAAACTTTGCGCTTACAATTCCGCCTAACTTAAAGGGCTCTAGATATATGCTTCAGATATCCTGAGTTGGGAACAGATGACTGGCAGAAAATGACTACACCTTTGTAACCTGTGCTTGCTAAATCCTGCGTCGGTGGCACAGTGGTTAGGACTCTCGCCGACCATGCACATGGTCCGGGGTTCGAGCCCACGCCGACGCACACCTGATATCTATGGTCGGCCTGCTAAATTTTGGTTACCGATATCCACGCTGAAAATTCAATACTTGTACCAAAAATACAATGTGGAATCAAGCTGTAATCAAAAAAAATTTTTAAAAATTTAATTAAATCAGCTGGAGATACAGGTATCACCCCTTCAACAGGCCGAATCCAAGGTCAGTTGGATGTCGATGATATATCGACATATCTACTTCTAACATTCTCACTTTTCTGTTACATTCCCTGGCTTTTCAAGAACTATAGATAAAACTAGAAATATGGATCTTATAGGAATCCAGTAACAATTTTCCGGGGACAGTCGTTCAGTTATCATTCAGTTTCTATAGCAAACCACACCCTGCTAATTCAAAGCTGACGCTTTGTTTAGGCGCTTTTATACACTAAGCTTTTTGGCCAAAGTTCAGTGTTAATCTAACTCTATAAAAACTTTCTTCATAGTAGCATTAAGTGAGACGCTTCTAGTGTCATACTAATTATCGCCAGCGCAGTCAGTACACAGTGGGATGCATATTATGCAGTAGTATGATCTATAAATGAGGACCTTGATGCTTAATGATGTGTTGGCCACCCACCACACTCCAATCCCTGACAGGCGGACTCTTCATTCTCTCAAAAAATAATAGTAACTTTACAATGGACAGTAACCAGCTGAATGTTTCTGTCTCTTTTTACTTTTTAAATATCATCCGTTGCAATTTAAGTATACTTTCAATCACAAACAGTCGCTAAAATATCACATAAAAGACGAAAAATAAGTGATTTTGGTTATTATAAAACGTCTCAATAGAGAAGAGCACTTAACTAATACTAGTTCATCTCTTTACATCACCTGGTTGATGAATGGAGGCATCTGAGTAGCGTATTGTGCATGCAACACCTTGTGACAATGAATTCGTGAATTATTCAGACATCTGAGAATTACTTTGAGTCTGATGGCAGAATTGTGGGGTGTGGCCCGTCATTACATTAACATTTCGATTATATAGGCGAGCTTGATTTTTACCAGCAGATGTATATGCTTTTTTCATTCCTTCAAGTTCCCAGTGGAACACAGGTCTTCAAGCTAGAGGCCTGAAGTTTTTGTAGCAGTGTTTATTTTTACAGGATGAGGTTGCTAGTCTCATACTCAACCTCTCCCCTCCACTAGCTTTATTACTGGCTTAGCGAGGTAAAGGAGTGCGTCGGCCCGGAATCGAAACCAGGACCACATGCGTGGTTGGCGAGCATTCTACCGCTGTGCTACCGACGCACTCAACCAGCAGATTTACGCATGAGTATATCAATGTATATATATGTTGGGTCCTCTATAGTACTCATTAAATCCATGAGCTGTGTTTCTTTTTGTGACTTCTTGTAGTTACATAAATTCCAAAATAACTGCAGGTACAAATCTCCCCAACATGAAGTGTTGGCCACCCTGCGTCCACAAAACCTTGATTCGGTCATGTGATTCAGTTCAGTATGCGCTCTCGAATCGACAACTGCTGGCATTTTTGTTAGAGCTGGCCTAATTCAAAATGATACTGGCAAGATCCAGTGTTGCGCCACAACCAACCAAAAGAATAACGAAGGTCTCCCCAGTAATCATATCATGGGCCGAAAATATTTTTGCTTTCTGGATAAGCCATGACTGTTTTCTTAAATTTTTTTCATCGTATTTTAACTGCGACGTCAACGATGCTTATAAGCCCAAGATTTTGAGGACGGAATCCCCACTGCTTCGTATTGAAGTTTCTGCTGTTATGCAACAACTACTAATGACTGAAATTTACCAAGTATAATATCAGTCGTTTTATTGATATTTGATGAGATCCATTTTGTTCTGCTTACTTCCTTCGCGTCTATAGAGTTTGACGAGCTGAATGCCATATGATAGCGGATATCAGTGCGATCCACAATGTTTGGTGAAAATACATCTTCTGCTCAGAGTATGTCTGGTGGTACTGCATCACTAAAGTTTTCAGTTACGCGGCTCACATCATTTCAGACCTCAATTCCTAATCCTTTAATGGTGCTTTCGTCTTTGAACCTACGTTAATGATATCATGATGTGTTTCATTCGACTGCAGCGCATATGAGAAGATCTACTACTCGAATGATTTATTTCCGCGCTGTAGGACTAATTCCGAGGCATATTATGAAGCCTTATTCTCTTGACAGACAGCAAGAGTAATTTTACTTTGGATATGCTGAGTCACGATTCTCGACAGTTTCCTACGGAAAACGTTGCTTTAGTACTTCAGGATTGTACTTTAAGTAACAAGCACCATTAACCTGATGTACAAGTGTTATAAGAGACGTAATGGAGTATTTATTTGCGTTTGTAGCCAGCAACTCATAAATAACAGCAAACATGATAACGCCATGAAGAAGACAGGAGTAGAAAATTCGTGTCTAGCAGTGGTATTTGTAGTGAGCATGGGTGATAAATGTAACAAAAAGCATCCTATATTTAAGCAGAGTAGGGAGAGAAATGGTCAATCCCTATCCATCACATCTCCTTTAATGTGGCTTGCCATACACTGATCAATATTTGGGAAAATTAGTTTGTACAAGGACTCAGTAGAGCTAAGTGGGAAAATAATGTAATTTTTCGGATTTCATGCAGTATGCGAGGTCATTGATATAGTTACAACTGTAAGATGGGTCCATTAAAGCTGTCAGAACATGAGATTTACCTTGAAGCTAGAATGCCTGATCCTTTCAAGTATTATTATTATTTCTGCACAAAACTTGCCATGGTCTGATGGCTACCCGAAACAGATACCAACACTTCAATCTTATACTGGCAACAAATTATCGAATACTCATATCGGTTATACCCTAGGGCAGGATTTTCACCAGCATCAGTTAACAGAAACACCTGGCATCATGCATATAGCACGCATGATATCAGATCAATTCCTTGTTGGCCTAGCGAACAGTCTACAGCTAGGGCATGGCATATTTCCCGGGAGATAGTTGACACAGTGTCGACACCAAACGCGGATACTAATATCTCTAGAATATTAATATCTGATTATCACACAGATGTCTCTCACTGCATACCATATCCAAACGAAAGACCATCCCTGACTACCACCTCAAAAACCTACCTGAAGTCTTCCTATGATCCAAAGATATTGGTAAATGAGTCTGATAGCATGTACATAGTGGATACTCACGGAATATTTTATCAAGATGTTGTCCTCTCACTGAAGCCGCGTAACCAGTGTTTATCTATTATTCTTGTGAATACGAGATCAGCTCTAAGCAAACACTTAACACTAAGTACATTAGCTTCTATATGCAGACCGTCATTGATTATGACCAATGAAGCCTGGTACACTGGTGAAATCTCCAATGACAGCCTAAGGATTGATAAATACAACCTTTTTCGAGGGGACAGACAGGTCGTGGGGGTGGAACACTAATTTACTGTCAACGATCCATGCGAGCAACCCAGTTTAGTAACCCAATTCTGTCACAACTCGATGACTCAATCTGGGTCGAAATAAAAGTTGTCAGAAGTAAACCTATACTTGTGGGTTGTGTGTACTGACCCCCTTCATCCAGCAGGGAATATGACAATATGCTCAGCGATATTTTTAGTGTTACAGCTAATCTTCCTTTCAGTTATCGAATTAATGGAGGTGATTTCAACATGCCAGAAGTATCATTGTCTTCACTCCGAGGACCCCGAAGATATGATAATCTCATGAATTCCATGATCACAGGAGGGTGGACACACCATATAAATTCACCCCCCCAGCTCCGCAAATATCCTAGACGCTATTTTCACGAACAACATAACATCATCTACAGTACATGAAAATAGTTGTGTGTTCTTTTGACATCTTTCCTGAAACAAAATGCGGAGATGAGGCTGGCCAGATACCTATGAGATTGTACACACATGCTGACTGGTACTAGTATCAGCACCTAATTAGGTGTTCTAAGTGGGACTCATACTTTTCGAACGAGTCCTTAGAGGCAATTCTTAACAACTTTTATCAGAATATTAACTCACTTCATGACATCATTGCACCCTGAGAAGATCCTTAGATTCAGATTCCCCCCAAAGCGATTATATTCCGACACCGTTTAGCAGAAGTCTACGAAAGCACTCAATAAAATACTACGGATATCATGACTTATCGTCATTAACTGCTGTTACGTCTGTCAGCCAACTCTCAGAAACTGTCAGTGTCCAGCTCTAACTACGCTGGACCTCACGCTGTCCCTGGAAGACTTTCAGAAACACTTTGTATTAACCAACGCGAAAAAACCAGAACACAGATTGGCGATCCGAGAATCCTTTATTCTTACGCCAATATGTAACCAACATAAGGTTATTACACACAAGGCTTCTTATAGTTTTCGATCTTCCACTGAACAGCGAACGATGAGACGATGTCTGGTGGATAGACGACTCCCGCAAAAAATATGGAGGAGTTGGGTTTGAGAAAACAACCATGAATTGATCGTTCAATCTTCAACTACACTGACAACGTTCTTTCTCAATAGAATTGAAGAGTTGAAAAATATAGGCCTCAGAAACAAAGAAATGCAAACCATTCAGGCGCCGCAGAACTCAGGAGAAATAGCCAAACCTTTCAAAAGTAGGTTGCTGAACTCCAAAGCAGCCTATCCGAAAATAATATACTTAGACGGCATTGCTTACGAAAATAATGAGGCGATATGTGAACTGTTTATCAAGCACTTCGCCAGATTATACACCTCAGAGAACGATGAGGTCGTGGATTTCCCACGTAAAACAGACGAATGTTTAAGTGACATAATTTTCACCACACATGAGATCGATAAAACTGTCGCAAATCTTAAGCTTACTAACACTATTGGTCCAGACGGTATATCTTCCGTTCTGCTGAAAAACGGTGGTGATGACATGAATTTACTCTTACTGAAGTTATACTCAATTTCACTAAG